TCAAAGGGGGCTTGAAAAGATGGGGTGATAATAGGCAGAGAGCAATGGTAATGATATAAAATATATATGTATGTGTATAAAATACAAAGTATATGTAAAAAATGATGCCTATGAACGATTATATGCAAACCAATAAAAAATGTGTATTGGCAGGTAAGGAAAAAATAAAGAAGACCATTAATGACATGTATTGATATAGTGACTGCAGCAATGGGCTCAAGTATGTCAGAGAAGATGAAGATGGCACAGGGCGGGACAGGGTTCAGATCTGTTGTTCCAGGGTTGCTCTGAGTTCTATTTGACTCGATGATGGCACCTAGCAATAACATATGAGTGTGAAAGTTGGACACTAAATAAGGAAGACTGAATTACAATTGATGCCTTTCGATTGTGGTGTTGGCAAAGAAAAGGAAACATACTGCAGGCTGCCAAAGAACCAAGAAATCTTGCTGGAAGAAATGCAGCCAGAGTGCTTCGTAGAAGCAAGGATGGGAAGAGTCGGGGATGCCACTCCGTGGGATTAAACATCATTCTTTAAAAAGCAGAGGGTGAGCAAAAGACAGGCTCCTCAGTGGAAATGGGTTGGCACTGTGACGTAATGATGGATTCACGCACGGCAGAAATTGTAAGCATGCGCAGGGCCAGGCAGCGTTTTCTTTTTATGCTCAGAGCCTCACCAGGAGTGGAGACACCTCAGTGCTGCCTAACAATAACAAAATGAGAAGGTTGGGTTAAGAGAATTTAAAATAAAATAAAATAAAATAAAATTTTAAAAATGTCTTTTTGTTACTTTTTCCTGCTTTTCTGCTGACCTTCTCCCTGACAATTTGCCTAAGTGAATTTTTTAAAAACCAGTTTTAAAACAGCATACTTAACTTCCTGAGTCTCTTACAAATGACTGACACGCTTTGAATTTCTAATTGATGTCATCTGGGCCGAGTGATCTGCTGATGGCCTGGGGTGACCAGGAAGCTCTCTCCGCCCCCAGGCACACCACCTTAGCAGTCAAAGTCTTGACAAGCTCTTTCAGTTTTGCAAAAGCCATGAACCTCTCTCTCAGGATGCCCTATTCGGAAGTTTTGAAGGACACTGAGCAACATTTGCAGAGGCAACAGACGGGAGAAAGAAGCGTATCTGCAGCTATCCTTGCTATATATGGTTTGGTAAGAACAGGCAGCCACTCTGTTTAACATGAGTTCCTCCCTTTCGTCAATGTCCATTTCACTACCCCAAAAAAGCCCTTTCACCATGAAATGAATTATCTGACACATTCCAAGTACCACTAATGAAAATGATGAATTCTCTTTGGAAATCTGCTACTAGACAGGTCCAGACAAAAACCATTCCTGTTAGTCAAGAAAATTTGCAGAGAGTTTTGACAAGTCGCAGGATGGCCACACAAGACAGGAAATGGGTTAGAAGACACCAGGACAGACAGAAAAAAGGGGAAAGAGTGAGCTGGCTTTGAGAGGTCACCAGTTTGAATCTTGGTCCTGCTATTACTAAAGGTCAACTTTAAACACAAATGACATAGCTTCATTTAAATACAAAAAAAAGAAGCAACTCTGACAAAGGCTATCTTAACAATTTTTTTTAGTCTCAAATTTCCTTCTTAACCTAAAAAATGGGAATCTTCTGCAGTGTAACAAGATCAGGTTATTTAAGTAGTGTTACATCTAAGCAGCCCAGATCGAGAAGCCAAACAATCCTATTATTAAAAGCCTCTAGCGGGTGGGGTTCAACAGCCTCCTTAGATAATGAAGCTTGGGGCGACGCAGCCCTCATTACAGTCATGAAGCTCTCATCACGGCTACCCCAGGTGAGCACGTGCCTTTATGCCTCTGCACACACTGCTCTGTGCTCGGGCAAGGCCTGTTTCCACTCTGAGTCACTGCCAGGGAAGCTAACTCATACAAGAGCAAGTATAAAAGCCACTTTGTGTGTGACATTTCTCCAGCTCCATTCATTACTTATGTGGCTGCATTTTTATATTTACTTTTTAAGTTTAAGGCAGTGCAGCTTCTTGCCAATAGGTCACCAAAGTCCTTAATAAATGATCAATGGGTAATTGGATAATAAATAAATAAATTGACAATGGTGCTGGTGATAAGTCTCCAGTATTTATTAACTACAAACTAAGCAATAGGCTAAACAAAAAAATGAGTGAATGTATGAACCAAGATGCCATTTGTTTTTCTTTATGTAGATTTTGCTATTTTACTACTATGATCCACTTCTGAAATAGCTTGCCTCCGGAAACTCTATGAACTTGGAGAAAACATGAAAGTTTTTCATGTTCAAGACTCATTCACAGAGTTGCCATGAGTCATTTACGACTCAACAGCATTCAACAACAACAACAACAACATGTTTAAAGAATGATATGATTAAGTGACTTAAAAATATTTATAACTTATTAAATGAAGACAGTAGATCATAAAAACAATGTATACAGCAGTATCTTAAAATTGTTTATGAATGTATGGAAAAAAGACTGGAAAAGAATGTATTTTAAAACCATTATGTCTTTTTTGTTGTTGTTTACTGTCAAGCCAGAACTAACTCATAGCTGACCATCCAGCAGCTTTTCAGAGGCAGTAAACTGCATGGGAGAAGACGGCCCATCTTTCCCCCTCAGAGCAGCTCGTGGATTTGAACTGCATACCTTTCCATTGGCAGTATAATTCCTTAAAACTCAGCCACCAGAGCTCCATTACCTCTAGGTAGGGGGACTAAGGATGATTTCTATTTTCTTATTGTGCCTCTAAGGAGCTCTGGTGGCCCAATGATAAGAAGCTGTGCTGCTACCTTAAAGGCACATGGTTTGAATCCACCAGCTGTTCTTAAGGAGACGGATGGGCAGTCTTCTCTCACAGGATTAACTGCCTTTGAAAACCTGCTGGAGGGTCAGCTATGGGTCAGTTCCAACTTGATGGTACACAATAACAACAATATTTTGTCTCTAAGTTTTATATAGTGACTCATGGTTCAATTTTCAGCCAAAACATAGATAAACCTATAAAATGATAACTCCAAGGAGATATTCACATCTTAGAATTGTTGTTGTTATTTATGTGTGATCGGGTCACTTGCCACTCATAATGACCCTATGTACAAAAGCTCTGAACTCTGCTCTATCCTGAGTCAACCTTATTGTCTCTGACACACCTACCGCCATTACCCCTGTCACTGAATCAATCCATCTCATCGAGGGTCTTCTTCTCCTGCACTGTCCCTCCACCCTCCCAAGAATGATGTTCCCCTCCAAGAACTGGTCCTTCCTTGCAACATGCCCAAAGTATGTCAGACAAAGATTCAGAATCCTTGTTTCCAAGGAGCAGCCTGGTTCCACCCTCTCTAGGAAGAATCTGTTTGTTTTCCTAGCAGTCCATGGAGAGTCAACCATATAAGGTCAAAAGAGCAGCATTTGTCTAAGAATAAAGCCCTGAAGCCAGGAAACCAGAAAAGTAGTATTAACAGAAAAGAGAGTTACAGGGAAGAAATGGCAAAAGTAAGATTACATTGTGGGTATTGTAATTAATGTTACAAAGCAAACGGTGCGTGAATAGTTGAATGAAAAAAAAAATCAATCTTCTTTGTTCATTCAAATCACAATAAAAAGAATACAAAGTGGAATCCCCACAGCTAGCATACTGGTTTCAGATTTTTAGCCTCGAAATATCAAGACAACATATTTCTGTTGTTATTTTAAGTAAATACATTTTATCTACAATGAGCATGTACAGGTTTTCCCCCTGCTATTGGAAATAGAGCATTCCTTATGAAAGTAAGCTGAATGGTATAAAGGAAAGAAGAAGCAATTACCATTATATAAATTAATGGAAAAAACTTCTGAGCATTCCCAGACCCCAAGGAAAACCACATACCAAAAAAAAAGGAGAAAATAAAGCTAACACACAATGTTCACAGACACTGTTCAAAGCTATGGTGCCTGATGCTCAGATGCTGGTATATTTCTCAGAAAGGCGCTTAGCCAAACTACTCTCATATGACATGTTGCCTCTCAAATGGCTTCGTTTTCAGCAAAACAAATGCTGAAAGCTAGTTCTGCTTTTTTACCCTTTTCTTAAAAGCAAAATCTTCTTTGGATTTTATGAAAATAGGCATTAATGTAGGTCTTTTGTAATAACAAGGTGGTGTATAAAGAGGGAATGCCTATATTATTTTGCTTAACAATAAAAATTTTTTTCAAAGATTAATTATTGTTAAATGACTCCCTTTCATCAGTTTGCTCCAGGATTAAAAAAAAAAAATCTGAAGAATTTTGAATGTAGTTAATTAAAAAAAAACCCTCAAGAACTTAACCCACAATTTTTAAAAAAAATTAGTGTTCTTAGTGGAGCAAGTGCAATGTTCAAAGAAAAATTAAACAAATTGTTCCAGTTGGAGAAAACTTTAATTTACTGCATGCAGGCTGTATTTCTGGAATGAAGAGCAAGTTGATTCATTTCATTCAGAATCAGTATGCATATTCACTGGTTGGATCTCATCTCACATCTGCAAACTTAATTTCTCCTCTCTTCCTCATCAGAAGAGCAGGAAATAAATTTTAGTCCAGGCGATAAATGTTACTTGGCAAGCTCAAAATAACTTAATTATTAAAAAGCAGCAACAAAGCCTAACCAGAAATCTTCCAAGGGATTGTTAACACTGTGCACTGTGTACTTAAAAAAAGGAGGGGGTAGTGGTAGGTCCATCTGTCTGAAAGAAGTCTGAGAGACATATGAATAACAAAACAGAATGTTTTGGAATTCTCTGCAAAGCATCACCACCACATAATACCTGCCTCAGTGCCTTTATGTGTATGGAGAGTCCTGAAGACTAAAACCCCAAACCCACTGCTATCTGGTTAATTCAGACCCAGTGAGTCTGGGATATACATAGAGAGCCTTCCACACACTAGATAGGGACTTGGGTTCCATATCCTCCTCCTGTGCTGGCCCCATGGAGGCTGTTTAAAGGCCACGAAGCTCCCTTACCGTGAAATAGAACTGCTCTGTCTCCTGCTGGTTGGCTCTCCTCTTGGCAATGCTGGGCTTGCTCATGAAGGTTTCGGACACCGTGGACTTAACAGACTCCATGGAGTTACTGTACTGGAAACAGTCAGACACATCAAAATCCTCCACGGTCACAATGTCCTGAATGGTTTGCAGGGTGGCCTCCATTGTCTTCTTGACCTGCCACAGACAAGGGCCAACACAGTGCACAAGGTTGCAAAACCGCAGGTGATAAGAGGCTCAGGAATGTGGGGATGGGGAGGTGAAGGTGTACAAGGAGAGGGGAGGCTGCTGGAAGGCAGAGGTGCGCTCCTCGCCTGACCATACTCAGCAAAAAAACACCACAGACTCAGCTACAACGTGCTACTCACTCTCTAGTGAGGACCTAAAAAACATCAGGGGTAATGCACCATATTAAATATGTAAGGTTTTATCCACATGGTTTTATTATAGAAACTAACATTCTATTAAAAAAAAAAACACACCAAAATCCACTGCTCCCTTCAGGCTGCGTGCATAACCTAGCTCTTTTATTTAATATTTACTTTCAAAATGTGATTTTTAGCTCTTGGCTATAATTTATAATGAAAGTGCTCAAGGAAAGAGAATGAAATGCATCCGAACCAATCCCACAGAACAAAGAGTTAGTTAAGATGTGGGATGGGACTGAGTCTTGCTTCTACCCCCGGTTCTGTTTCACGGCCTTCCACAGAACCATTAACCTGTTTCCCCATTTACAAATTCAGTGGTGAGTCCTTCCTGTGAGACAGTAAGACTTGGTGAAAGGCAAGGTGAGAAGTCATGCGAGCTCAGAAGAAAAGAGCTGGGTAATCAATCACACTGCCCTTTTGAACTGGTTGTTGAAAGCAAAAACACTGGGCCCTGAAGAAAGTCACCCTCATCTGAGAGAATGGGGATGTCTGAAGTATCAGAGGCAATGGCCTCTGTTTGTTTGAAAATGCTAGACTAAGCCAGGAATGAGGAGGGGACAGTGGTTCCAGAGACAATATTGTTCACGCAGCTGCCAAGTGCCATTTTGATTAAATGTGTAAGGGGTGGGGAGCTTTTTGTAAAAGCTTAAAAATAGAGCTCAACCTTTGGCAATGCAACAGCAACTTCCTGGAGTTCAAGGGCAGGATGTAACGGAAGGGTAAAGTCCAAGTGCGCATTTGGCTAGGAAACGTATGCGGCAGCCCGGACATTCCCTGCATGCTCCTTCCACCTGCTCCCAGATAGGGAGCCGCTAGGCGTTTGACCGGGAAACTCAGCGGGTGGCTTGGAGCCTGGCAGGCTGTAAACTCACCTCCTCGTTCTCAATCTTCAGGGTGGATAAGCGAGACTGCAGTTGTTGGCATCTCTGGACCAGCTCGCTCTGGACAGGCTGCTGGGCACAGAGCTGGGAAGCCTGCCAGAAGCAAGTAACACCAGGTCAGGAAGAGGACACAACTCTCTTTAAAGAGTTTATTAGCAGTTCCAATTACAGCTAATAAAACCACTCATACTCAAGGTGTAAGGCTCACAAGTTTGTGTGTTGAAAAAAATCTCCAAAGCCAAAGTGTGTGGATCTTTCCAGGACTGAACGCTGCGTGAAAGGAATGGAGAGAGGAACTTGTTTAGATAGAGTGGGCCTCTCTTTGGAGCCCATGTTCCAGCTGGTGTTTTGCAGAGGCCTACCTACGTAGCTTCTTGTGCCTCTACGGAAGTCTGAGGAAGCCTGAGTAGGGAGCTTGGGGCAGGCCCGATTCCAGAAGCACAATGCTTTGGCATTGTGAAGACTTCCTGCTAGAGATCCAAGTGGCCACCTCTCTGGCCCCTCCTTCACACATCAGAGTGAAAGCAGGAGAGAAGTGGGTCAGGAGGCTAACTCGATGCTGTTGGCAGCCGGTATGTTTATAAATCCAAGCCATGCATGAGAGCTCTGACTCAACCAGAAAGAGTAGGAAGCCAGGAACAAGGCTGCAGACTATGCTTGATGGCACTGGAGGGCATGGAATAGGCTAGAGCTCTTTGTTTTCCAAGAAGATTGGATTTTACCCCAGGTCTTTACAGGCTGTGTGTATTAGGGAGGTCTCTCCTTCCCTCCATGATCACTAACAAGGTGCTTTCCTCAAGTATGCTCTGTGTGCAGGAATGGATAATCACTGACTCTTCATGGGACAGGTCTACAGCATGGGGTTACCCATCACAGTCCCAGGATGATGGGTAAAGAACAAAAGGCTCGGAGAGTTGGGAAGTTGGAGACAGGAGCCATGTCACCTCACTACCATGTGTCTGTAGAAACACATCTGGACAGAGCTGGCCTATCTCCCCAGCAACGAGTAGGCACATTCACATGCCCACAGACCACTGTCATGCTTGAAAAGACAAAACTCTCTTTTCAAGTGGCGGAGGCTGAGACTTGACCTTTTCCATCACTGACTTTTAAGCTCCCAATTGACTTGACCTACTCCCCCGGCCGAGTGGCTGGTGTGAGCCAGCTCTCAGATCTAAAGAGCGCTGACTTCACTCTGGCTCTTGGAGAAGGAGACACAATGGAGAAGGCTCAGTGGCCAGGGGCAGTTTAGTGCCAAGAGTGAAACACTCTGGCTGTCTGATGTCACTAGTCAGGCATCCAGACCCCCACAAGCCTCTGGAGCCAGCAAGTGAGGAGCTAAGCACCTCCTCCTAGAATATCTGACAGTGCCTGGCATCAGCTCATGCTGAGCACCCCAGAATACTACAGTCAAAAGGGGGCCTTGGACAACTTTAGGGCTTCTGGTCAAAACGCCACCTGCACTCTGGCCCTTGTTCAAGGACTTTCAGGCAGCTCCCTCCTGTTGCCTCCATATTCTACAAACAGCCTACACTGATGGGGATAGACCAGCCTTAGGGGGCCAAGAATGACTCGCCTTCTTAGCTTTGTTTTCCACTGATAAGAATGCTAAGCAGGAATGCAGGATCTCTGCAAGTTCTAGGACTGACCCTGGCCCCTGCGTGGCTTAGCCATACTAATAGGCTATTATGTCACATATAGGATGGGCCCAGGCAGAAGAGAGAACTATTGATTTTTAAAGTAACCCAGGCTTAGTAGCGAGGAATCACAGGAAGGACAAGCCATCTCCAAGCTGGCTCCTTTAAGAAACAGCAGCACTGGTGATGCATGCTTTGGCTGTGGGTTTTCCTCTACCGGGGCGCAAGGTAATGCATTCCAGCTGTGCTCTGGGGTATGGAAATAAACCCCGAACAGGGCTGGGACAGCGCTTGAGCACCCAGCATCTGGATTCTCCCTTTATGGAGACAAGCTGTTTGGCTCAGAAGGCAACACAGTCAACATCAGAAAACGTATCACTCTACTCAACTGGCCCCCAAGTTCCACCGATTTGGGGGAAGGAATCTCAGTGGCAGCTGGAGGAGGCCTGACAGCAGGGGCTTGGAAGGGAAGTTTGACCAGCAGCCAGGGCAGGTGAGGAATGAGGTTTCCTGGGGCTCAGTGACACCCCTTCCCCCAACTCTTAATTGCACATGCTGCCATCTCACTTGCCCATCTGTTCAGATACTGACATTTCCGAAGTCAGAGAAATGAAAACAAAGTATAGATGGCTTGGTTAACCCTAAGCAGCAGAGACTTTCCAATTTTTTGTCTTGTGTTAGAAATGCCCAACTCCCCATAGTCGCCTACTGATGACAGTGGATCTTTTGTTTCCACTGCTATGGTCGTCATGCTCAGAGCAGGGTTTTCTCAACAGTGTGCAGCCTAAATCCCAAGGGAAGCATCATTCTTGGTGAGAGGACTCTGCTTTTTAGGTATCTCCTAGCCACTACTCCTTCTTCTGATTCTACTTCTCCTTCAGCTTGCCCTGTTAGGGAACCAGTCCCTCCACAGTGAAGGCCACTTGCTTCTTGAATGGATCTCTGCCCCACTCAGAGCTTTAGCACCTGATTTAGGCATAAGCCAATGAGAAGACTGCAGACACCTAGCAACAGTGACCAGCTCAAGGGTAAGCACATCACCCAATCAGAGGCAAGGAGACACAAGGAGACTGGTGGAGGCTTCTGGGAGGGAGGCACATATTCTTTCCACTCTATTTCAACCTACAAGACTGTAAGACTGGAAATGTAGTCATCTTATATTCATGGGGAAAGAGCCTCACTAAGAACAAAAGGGAACAAAAAAAATAGTCTTGATACCATTTATGCTCCTGAATGACCCAGCTTGAACTTGTTGTAGTTTGTCATTGTTGTTGAGTCAGAATCAAACCATTGCTGTTCCTCTGGTGGGTTTTCAGAAGGAGTTTTTATCACATGGGAAGAGACTGGTCGACCTGCTCCTGAGGAGCAGCTGGTGGATTTGAACCTAGTTCCTTTGGGATGGCAACACAGCACTTTACCACTAGGCCACCAGAGCTCCCTCTAGTGGCTCAGTGGTAAGGAATTGTGCTGCCAATGCAGAGAAACATGGTTTGAATCCACGAGCTGCTCTGTGGGAGAAGGATGGCCAATCTCTTCCCATGTGAGTTAAGTGCCTCGGAAACCCTGCTGGAGGGTCAGCTATTGGGTCGGTTCCGACTAAACCGTACACAATAACAACCACAAGCCCAAATACAGGAAGCTTTGGCGGCTTAGTGGTTGGCACTGCCAACCCAAACGCATGTGTGGTTTGAACCCACGGCTGTTTCAGGGGAGAAAGATGGACAATCTCCTCCTGTGCAACTCACTGCCTCTGAAAACCCACCAGAGTCAGGTATGAGTCAGTTCCTCCTCTACAGAACACAACAAGAAGCAGCTTAAATATACCTTCCTTTGATTTAGCCACAGAATAAAACGGGATTCCTACCAGTAAGGGTGAGGTTCACGCTGGTTAGTAACGTACTAGAAGTGGAACCACAAAAACGGAATAAAAAACCGAGTGTCTCACTTCAGTCCCTCTTGTTTCAATCAAAAGAAGCTCTGCTCGGCTCGCAAAGTGGGTTAAATACTGCTGCTAACATGAAGGCCAGTGGTTCAAACCCACCAAATGCTCTATAGGAGAAAGATGGAACAGTGAAATCCCAGTAAGATTTACACCCTTCAGGATTCGACAAGGTCCTGTAAGGTTAGAGTTGAAATCAACTTGATGGTGTGTTTCGGTTTTTTAGTTCTGGTCCAGCCAAGCAGCTTTGATGGTACAGTAGTTAAAGCAGTTGGCTGCCGCCCAAAAGGTAGGTGGTTCAAACCCATCAGCCACTCCCCAGGAGAAGGATGGGGCAATCTGCTTCTGCAAAGATTTACAGTATTGGAAATCACATGGGGAAGCTGCACTCAGTTGGGCAGGGTCACTGAGTTGGAAATGACCTCATGGCAATGGGCTTAGTCCGGTTTTGGTTTTGTTTCAGCCCCTGGGGGTGGAGAGTTCAAAACTTGGGCCCTCACATTCATGCTCTCCTGCCTGGGCAGCTAACACCAGGCCTTCAGGATGGCATCTCTCCTCCCTGCCTTTCTGGAGGCATCTATTCAGACTTCTGTGTTTATTATCCAAGTGAAACTACAGACTTTATTACAATCTTTTAACCTCAGGAAAGTAAGATACCTCAGAATCCAATGACCAAAGGCCCACTTCCCTTGTTAACTATCCCATTATATGGTCTCTAAGACCTCGGCTCCCACTTCTCCCAGCGTCACTGTGTGGTTCGCCCTTACCCTTCCAGCAGACAAAACTATTGTTCTGAAACATATGTGCTGCCTTTTACCTCCTCTGGCAATTTTGGCCCCTTGAAGTGGCCCTCCCAATGCATCTCCTTAACCCCTCCCAAGTCTCACTGATTCCCTCAGCAGACTGGGAGATCTCTGAACACTCTTATCCCCAGTGGCTGTGTTCAAGGTTGGCAGACAGCAGATACTCAGAGAATGTTTGAACAGACAATGCCTCACATCAGTAGGAAAGACACCCGCCTGACAGGAAGCTAGCCCCAGACCTTCTCCCCTCAGAATAATGTGGCCTCATTGTTGTGAATCTAGAGACAAGACAGTGAGCTCAAACCCCCTGAAGTGTGGAGAGAGGAAGGTCTCACCATGTCCCCCATGTGGGGCTGGAACTCAAACTTCATAGGTGGACAGAAGACATTGTTGTACATCTCCATGAGGCGCTGCTTGTCACTAGTGGCGTCCAGGTTCTCCACAGCATTCTCAATAGCATCCAGACCTTCGTGCTTTGACTGTTCCAGGTTTAACTCAGCGGAGAGGAAAGTGCGCAGGGCCCGGTTCAGGCTAGCGTGGTAGCCGAGGTCACAACACTGCTGTGGGAACAAAAGGGCATATGAGCTGACCATGGACAATCCCAGAGCTTGGTAGAAAAGGAAGGTGACCTTTAAGGTAGCTTCGACCATGGCAATGACACTGGCTGTGCAGTGGGAAGAAAGCTGGCACGGTGACTTCCGGGATCCAGGCAAATTTCTCAGTTCACTCTGTTTGCGATGGACTAGTAGAGTGTTAGAATGAATGGTAGGTAGATGAGGAGGACTTATGAGGAAGACATGACTTTATTTAATCATGCACTGTGTTATTGGGTAAACAGGATTAAGAGTTCAAAATAAAAGAGGATACTATTTTCAGGTTTAGTCTGGAGATGTCTCATCATTAGAAAGACCAACTAATGAAAATGTAGCCTGTGGGTAGCTGAGAGAGGGAGAGTCCAAGGTACAATGGGGACTTGAGATGAGAGCAATAAAAATGATATAAAGCATAATATATATATAGATTTGCATGACAGTATAAAACAAAATATACATGAAGGAGAAACAATGCATGTGAATCTGTGTATAAATCATAATGTACATGAATGAAACATACTGTATATGAATGAATATATGCAAACCAATTAAAGCTAAAAAAAATCCAAACAACCCACATAAAACCAAAACCAACCAACCAAAATGTAGCCTATCACTCCTTGAAGATTACTATAGTTATAGAAGGCTACTGTACCAGTCAAGCCAGACAATTTCAGCATTCAGGGATAAGAAATCAAGAATGCTACAAGTGCAGTCAATTTACCCAGACTTAGAACTTTGAACGGGTCAAAAACAGAAATGGCAAAGTACCGGCTAACTCTCTCCCTGCCATTAAGTTCACCTTCTCCCAACATTCTGCAACAGGACTCAGCTGCAGCCTAGGATTTCAGTACCTTTGCCTCACATAAATAGCGTATTTGGGCCAAAGAAACTGAAACTAAATCGGAACACTCAGATCATGTAGAGAATTCAGATTTTTTTTAAAGACAATTATATGAAAGATGCAATGGGGTAAAACGAGCATGGGTCAAGCAGCCATGGAAAAGTGGTTTCCCATCTCTAAGCCTGATTCCTCAACTGTGAAATGAGCCCAGAGGACCAGGTCAGTCATTTCCAGGCTGGAAAGCAGAGCTCTAAGATGCTGTGACAGTGCTGGAGGGCTGCCCTGGAGAAGGGGTGCAAGGACAGCCAAATTAGGACCTGAGGCCTCTTAACCAATAAGCTGGGGCATCAACCAATAAGCTCTGCTGCTGCTTCTATGTACTATGTTGGGATTCTATGGAAGTATCCCTGGTGGCACAGTGTGCTAGGTGGTGGGCTAACTGAAAGGTCAGCAGTTCAAATCCACCAGCTACTCCGTAGGAGAAGGACGCACAGCCTTGGAAATCCGATGAAAGGTCACATAAGCTGAACTCCACTTGAGGGTAGTGGGTTTGGTTCTGTGTGTAAGGTCTGCTTCAAGAAAGTCCTGCTGGAGGGACAGTCTGGAAACCCTTGGGCTAAATGCAATTCCTAAAAATCTCCTCTAGCAGTGCACTCCACAACTTTATGACAATATTTCCCATCCTTCTAGAAGGACCTGGAGATTTAAATTGTGAGGTTATCTATACTCCTCTCTGAGGTCCAGAACAGGAAAGGAAATGCCAAAGAAGAATCCGTAGATAAAGACCATCTGTTGGAATGCTATTTCATTCTATATGCAAGCCATGGAATTAACTACCCTCCCCATTCTTTACACACACACGCGCACACACACACAGACCCCGATCATGATCACATTGGGAGAAGCTGCTATTGGGGAAGAACAAGCATGTGACATGCCTCTTCCTTGCCTAAATCTGACAAGACACTCAGCGATGAGCCTGTCAGGCTGAGCTCTGGGGTAGGTGCCAACAGGCCCTGGCAGGGCCTGGCTACAGCGGAAGAGCAGCGGTTACAGCTTAACTTGAGGCAGAGGACATTAAATTCAGTGGCGAGGGAAGAGCAAATGGAAGCTAGACAAAAGCCGCTGATTGCGAGGATGCATGTGCGGGAGCCCTTCTTCCTGCGGGAGATGCTGCTGGTCCCGAAGCTGCCCTAGAACCTGTACATCTGCAGGACTACCTCTGTGCAGGCCCTGATGATTCAGCTGGTACCTGTTAAGTCTAGCGAGCAGAAGTAATGGAGCCGCGCACAGGCTAAGCGTGTGTGTGCATGCGTGCTGAGGATGGGTGGCAGAAAGGAGCCCTGTAGGCGGAAAAGAAATCGGAGGAATGTGTCCGTAAACCTTGGCATGCTTCTGCTGCTTCACCTCTCCTCTCTATTCTCACCCCACCTGCTCTGATTCATACACTTACTGTCTTATACCAGTGTGGGCTGTTTAACTGCCTTATAATGCAGCGTTTCTTATCAGTCTCCTGATTCCTCAGTTTGTCAATTCAAAAAGGTCTCTATTTAGTCCCAGGGCTTCCTGTATACCAGGCTGAGTGCTTCATATTAATTCTTCATTCTAATCTTCCCAATAATGTTCATGAGGGAGATCTTAAGCCTCCAGACAACGAAGCAGAGGCTGGTTGAAGTTAAGAGATTCAGAACAAGGTCTAACAGCTGGAACAAACTGCAAGCTGTCATAAATTTGTCCATCCACTATTAGCTCTCTTTTCTTCTTCCTCTTTGTCTGCTCTAATCCAATGACAATCTCTGTTGAGAGCAGATTACTGAGAAAACATGAGCCTGAAATCAGCTGGGTGACCTTGACCACGCTTACTTAACCTCTCTGTGTTGCGTGTGAGGATCCCATCAGCATCCAAGGTGGCTATAAATACAGGCAAAGTATTTACATAAATCTAGCACCATGCAGCATCAGTTGCTAGCTATAATGTCCTCAAATCCATCAACTTCTGCCCCTCAGCTTCTAGCATCCTTCTTTCTGGAAATGTTTCCCATTCATCTCAGCTGTTGGAATGGGACCCAACCTTCAAGGTCTCAGCCTCTGGGAAGCCAGGCAGTCAGCCCTGCGACCCTGGCTCACAGGGACCTGTTCCCATTAGGAGCCACCCTCATCTGCCACTCTCCTTGGATGCGGAATCCACTCCCTCATCCTGTGACTGCCATTGTTATCATCCAACCAGAAGATAAGCTTCATAAAGGGCATGGCCAGTGTCTTATTCCTCCTTCACAGTGATGTGGGGTAAAGTGCATGTCCTTAAGGTGTCGTTGAGCTGACTGGCTCTTAATGACCCTATGGACAACAGACCAGGCCACCACCCGAGCCTGCACCATCCCCACAAATGCTGCTTGAGCCTATTCCTGCAGCCTTGATGGGTCTCACAGTAGCATTCACATTATCAGCTGATAGGTCAACGTCAGGAGCATAAATTCTAGCCTCTCAGAAGGTAATACCAAGCCAAACCAAAGTTATTGCCAATGAGTCAACTGTGACTCACAGCAACTCTACAGAACAGAGGGGAACTGCCCCCACAGGGTTTCCAAGGAAGTAGTCTTTTACAGAGGTAGATTTTGACACCTTTCTGCCAAGGAGTGCCTAGTGGGTTCAAACCTCTTGGCTTTTGAGTTCACCGCCAAGCACTCAACCACTGTACCAGTAGGACGCATTTGGGAATTATTGGAGCTCTGGTGACCTAGTGACAAGAAGCCCTGCTACAATCCCAAAGGCACGCAATTCAAATCCACCAGCTGCTCCATGGAAGAAAAAAATGGACAATTACCTCCCGTGCAATTAACTACCTCTGAAAATCTGCTGGAGGGTCATCTATAGTTTGGTTCTGACATGACGGTACACAACAACAACAACTCATAAATAGGCTGACTATTGATCTAAGTCAAGTGAGTAGATGTGACAACTGAAGCCTTCTGTGCTGTTCCTCTGTATGGACCCAAGGAAGGCAAGGTGCGTCTTAGGGACCATCTGTTGCCTCTGTTTTGCATGAGCCTGGGAGCCTCTCTATGCGGAGGGTATAACTTCTCTTGAAATCTGGTGGTGTGCCCTCTCACTTTCTCTTCCATGGCCCCAGCCAACCAGGTAAGTTCAGAGTAAGTTTTCCAGGGTCTGGCGAGACATGTCTATACGAACAGCTGACAGACTCTGATCCTTCAGCAGGGAAGCAATTTTTGACAAGTTCAGGAAAACGGGATTTGGCTCTCTCACTCATATTCCCGGGAGAATCCCAAAGGCAGCACATTACTCTACCCACAAGGGGGACAAAGCATGTTTTCTATGGTTTCTGATGAGTTCTGTGGCCAGGCTGGCTTCCCCTGGCCATGTCTGGGTTATATAAATGTTTGATGAAAACCTTCTCTGGGGAAATCAAATTTTTATAAGTATTTAATGGCAGCCCATCCGGATGTCTGATGACTTGAGTGGATACAGCTCATTAACCCTTTACCAGCTGACTTCCTCACTCCAAGATACTACAGAAACCTTAGAAAGCTTTCCCAAGACCTAGTTCAAGTTCACCCAGAAGACATAAACACCACCGTCTGCAAAATTTCCCACTGAGAAAACAAGTTCCCTTGTGTGTGGCTTGAGAGCGCGTGGCCTCCCCAACTTACCATCTATTTCCGTGGCACTCACGACAGCCAGCTGTGCATGAGGACAATGTGTCGTCCTTCATTTATCCATCTGCTTTCGGGCTGCAAGAGCCACGGGCGGACGGGGGCGGAAAACGACATTCCGATGAGGCCTCCGTTCTGAGACACTATCGAGTGAGTTCAGAATGTCTTTTTGGCCCAATGTCAGGGTTTTCCTGGTGTGTCTCAGTTGCTTCACGTGGATTCCTACAGTCTAACTTTAAATCTTATCCTGTACTATAAAAAGGAGGCAGAGGGTAGTCTCTGTGTCACCGTACTGGTATCAAAACAATATAATAACTTCTTTTCAATTGTCCTCCATGCCTTAAGCATACACCAAGTTCAACATGCCTAGGAAGGAAGCTGGATAGTGTGCATAACACAGACGGCAATGGACTGGAACAAGATTCATCCCATGGCTCAAAGCAAGTTCTGGA